CTTCAAATGCGCGGGTTTTAGTTGAGCTTGATATCACAAAATCCTACCCTAAACAAGTTTGGCTTGGTTCAGATACCTTGGGTTATGTCCAAGATGTGATTTAGACGATTTTCCTAATTTTTGTTCTGTTTGTAAATGCATCGGGCACCCTTCGGGGAACTGCCATCCTGTTTTGGAGATTGCTCCTTCTTCTTCCTGGGGGGGGGGGGGGGGGGGGAGCTGCTACTGCAGCTCGAGACGTCCCTATTATTCCGCCTGTTGTTGAGGAATTAAATGTGGTTAATATTGTTGTTGATCCGTTGACCTTGTGGGTGTGTTCGAAACTGTTCCTACTGTTTCCCCTTTGTCGCTGGTTGGTTTAAATGAGTTGGAGGATGCTGATATTGCTGTTGCTAAGGGTGGTTTTGATTTGGGAAATCTAGTTAATGATGCTAGTGGTATTTTTAATAAGGCTGTAGACAAATGCCCTGTGGTGGCTGTTATTGAAGAATCGGCTATTATTGTAGAACTGGCTGGACACTCGCCTTTGGGGGGAGGGGTCGATTCTGGTCGTTTTGTTCCCAGTGCTGTGGATGGTGGTGATGTGCCCTTCATTGAGGATTCGTGTAATCCTGATGTGAATGTGGCAAGTAATGTTGAGTGTGTTCAGGTGGAGAAAGTGAACAGCAATTTGGTGAGCTCTACTTCCCTTATTGACGTCTCGGTTACTGTTGTTGAAACGCTTCATTTGGTTAATCACTTGGGTGATATTGCGGGTTTGGTTATTAGGAATCATGTTGACTGGTTGCATGGTTCGTCGGATTACGAATCTGAATCAGATTGTTCTGAAGGTGGTTTGGCTTCTCCGAATTTTTGTGGTGGTTCTGACCCTGGTAATGATTTCACTCTGGTTCGTGCTAGACCTGTTTTAAATGTTGCCTCTAGGGGTAGATTTCGTGGTAGAGGTCGGCGTAGATTGATTTGTCCGTTTATGTAGACTTGTCCCTGTTCTTTCTTCGGGTTTGCTATGCTTTATTATTTTTCGGTGTGCTGTTGCGCTGGATTTAGAGCAATGATGGGGCTGGGGCTCGCGTCCTTGTCGCTCTCGCTACTGGAAACATTTGGTGTGAATTCTTCGGATCGGCTGGATATTGTGTCACGACCCGACCCGATCTGGGACGGATCCCGCTCGCACCGGGTCGCGACCGGAACGAACAGACTGACTTACTGACCAGGATCTTGTTATGGAATTTGGTTCGGAACAGAATCTTCCAAATAGTTTAACTCAAACATACACACAGACACAGAGCTACTATGAATCATCAAATGCAGCGGAACAAAACATCTATCTTTTCTTTCTTTTTCTCAAAACAATCATCTACAAATACAGTACATGGCTCAGACAGAAAGAAACAGAGCAGAAAAGTCATGACTGTACAAAAATCAAAAGGTACAAAAAAATACCTACGGATCAGACACTGAAATCTATTCCTGGACTTCCTTCCCTTTCCCAGAACCTGAAAACCACTAGAAAACAAGAGTGAGCTCAACAGCTCAGCAAAGCGACAAACCTCCAATCAAAATTCTCAGAATCCAAAACCAAACACATCAGACAAATCCGTACAGAACTCAGAACAGAATCGGACAGATACCAAATCGGACAGATCAGAACGAAACAGATCAAATCAGAACAGATACGGACAGATCGTGCAAAATTTTGCTCAAAAATTTTGCACATAAACTATGCTCCTTTTTTAAATTCGGCCCAAGAAAATTTATTTATTACTTACTATTTCTTTTAATTAAGGTTTATTTAATTATTATCAAGTAGTTAGATATTAATTCTAATTTATAAAATATTTTTTGATATATAAAATCTTTTATTAATTTATTTAAATATTCATTCAATTAATTTAAATGAAACAAATATCTAGTCTACTTATAAACTTACAATAGTATGGATACAATAGCAAAAATTTTGCTCATATAAAATAATAACATATTTTATATATTTTGCTCAAAATTTATGTGCAAAATTTTGCTCAAAAATTTTGCACATAAACTATGCTCCTTTTTTAAATTCGGCCCAAGAAAATTTATTTATTACTTACTATTTCTTTTAATTAAGGTTTATTTAATTATTATCAAGTAGTTAGATATTAATTCTAATTTATAAAATATTTTTTGATATATAAAATCTTTTATTAATTTATTTAAATATTCATTCAATTAATTTAAATGAAACAAATATCTAGTCTACTTATAAACTTACAATAGTATGGATACAATAGCAAAAATTTTGCTCATATAAAATAATAACATATTTTATATATTTTGCTCAAAATTTATGTGCAAAATTTTGCTCAAAAATTTTGCACATAAACTATGCTCCTTTTTTAAATTCGGCCCAAGAAAATTTATTTATTACTTACTATTTCTTTTAATTAAGGTTTATTTAATTATTATCAAGTAGTTAGATATTAATTCTAATTTATAAAATATTTTTTGATATATAAAATCTTTTATTAATTTATTTAAATATTCATTCAATTAATTTAAATGAAACAAATATCTAGTCTACTTATAAACTTACAATAGTATGGATACAATAGCAAAAATTTTGCTCATATAAAATAATAACATATTTTATATATTTTGCTCAAAATTTATGTGCAAAATTTTGCTCAAAAATTTTGCACATAAACTATGCTCCTTTTTTAAATTCGGCCCAAGAAAATTTATTTATTACTTACTATTTCTTTTAATTAAGGTTTATTTAATTATTATCAAGTAGTTAGATATTAATTCTAATTTATAAAATATTTTTTGATATATAAAATCTTTTATTAATTTATTTAAATATTCATTCAATTAATTTAAATGAAACAAATATCTAGTCTACTTATAAACTTACAATAGTATGGATACAATAGCAAAAATTTTGCTCATATAAAATAATAACATATTTTATATATTTTGCTCAAAATTTATGTGCAAAATTTTGCTCAAAAATTTTGCACATAAACTATGCTCCTTTTTTAAATTCGGCCCAAGAAAATTTATTTATTACTTACTATTTCTTTTAATTAAGGTTTATTTAATTATTATCAAGTAGTTAGATATTAATTCTAATTTATAAAATATTTTTTGATATATAAAATCTTTTATTAATTTATTTAAATATTCATTCAATTAATTTAAATGAAACAAATATCTAGTCTACTTATAAACTTACAATAGTATGGATACAATAGCAAAAATTTTGCTCATATAAAATAATAACATATTTTATATATTTTGCTCAAAATTTATGTGCAAAATTTTGCTCAAAAATTTTGCACATAAACTATGCTCCTTTTTTAAATTCGGCCCAAGAAAATTTATTTATTACTTACTATTTCTTTTAATTAAGGTTTATTTAATTATTATCAAGTAGTTAGATATTAATTCTAATTTATAAAATATTTTTTGATATATAAAATCTTTTATTAATTTATTTAAATATTCATTCAATTAATTTAAATGAAACAAATATCTAGTCTACTTATAAACTTACAATAGTATGGATACAATAGCAAAAATTTTGCTCATATAAAATAATAACATATTTTATATATTTTGCTCAAAATTTATGTGCAAAATTTTGCTCAAAAATTTTGCACATAAACTATGCTCCTTTTTTAAATTCGGCCCAAGAAAATTTATTTATTACTTACTATTTCTTTTAATTAAGGTTTATTTAATTATTATCAAGTAGTTAGATATTAATTCTAATTTATAAAATATTTTTTGATATATAAAATCTTTTATTAATTTATTTAAATATTCATTCAATTAATTTAAATGAAACAAATATCTAGTCTACTTATAAACTTACAATAGTATGGATACAATAGCAAAAATTTTGCTCATATAAAATAATAACATATTTTATATATTTTGCTCAAAATTTATGTGCAAAATTTTGCTCAAAAATTTTGCACATAAACTATGCTCCTTTTTTAAATTCGGCCCAAGAAAATTTATTTATTACTTACTATTTCTTTTAATTAAGGTTTATTTAATTATTATCAAGTAGTTAGATATTAATTCTAATTTATAAAATATTTTTTGATATATAAAATCTTTTATTAATTTATTTAAATATTCATTCAATTAATTTAAATGAAACAAATATCTAGTCTACTTATAAACTTACAATAGTATGGATACAATAGCAAAAATTTTGCTCATATAAAATAATAACATATTTTATATATTTTGCTCAAAATTTATGTGCAAAATTTTGCTCAAAAATTTTGCACATAAACTATGCTCCTTTTTTAAATTCGGCCCAAGAAAATTTATTTATTACTTACTATTTCTTTTAATTAAGGTTTATTTAATTATTATCAAGTAGTTAGATATTAATTCTAATTTATAAAATATTTTTTGATATATAAAATCTTTTATTAATTTATTTAAATATTCATTCAATTAATTTAAATGAAACAAATATCTAGTCTACTTATAAACTTACAATAGTATGGATACAATAGCAAAAATTTTGCTCATATAAAATAATAACATATTTTATATATTTTGCTCAAAATTTATGTGCAAAATTTTGCTCAAAAATTTTGCACATAAACTATGCTCCTTTTTTAAATTCGGCCCAAGAAAATTTATTTATTACTTATTATTTCTTTTAATTAAGGTTTATTTAATTATTATCAAGTAGTTAGATATTAATTCTAATTTATAAAATATTTTTTTATATATAAAATCTTTTATTAATTTATTTAAATACTCATTCAAACATCTAGTGTACTTATAAACTTATAATAGTATGGATACAATAGCAAAAATTTTGCTCATATAAAATAATAACATATTTCTCCAAATTTGACGCAACTGCGAAGTCAGATGAAAAGATTCGAACTTTCCGTGGGCCCGTTAAGTAAATAATTGCCTCATCCTTGTCGAGTAGAGCCGAGTGGATCTCGTCACCGCCTTCTCCTACTTAAGCATAATTTATTCGCGCATTTATTATATTTTTCTTAGTTAATCAATTCTGCAAAAAGAAATGAAGCCGAAAACTGAAACGAGTAGAACAAGAAAAACGCCGGAATCTATGGAGGTTCGTCTCCGATTCAGATTACGAAGACCAGTTTGATCGGCATCGAAGCCTCTGAATCTGAGACAGGAGGAGAAGAAGGCGAGGAACTCGGTGTTGTGACTGATACACTTGTGGGAAAGCTCGAGAACTATGAGATCGTATCCGATATGAATGGAAACCCTAAATTTCAGGCAGGAAGCTTCCGACCAGATCCGATCGGCAAAGGGGGTATTCGGCGAGCCGATATCCTTTTCCGGTGGCTGAGCTTTACTGGCGCATGGAATCCTCCGCTGCCGGAGACGGTGGAGGGGTCGGTGTCGATTGCGGCGTGGGTACGATTGTTTGGGTGCGGCGGAGGAATGGCTCTTGGTGGCCGGGTCGCATTCTCGGGTCGGATGAGCTGTCGGCGTCTCATCTGATGTCGCCGAGATCGGGAACGCCGGTGAAGCTCCTTGGGAGAGAGGATGCCAGCGTGTGAGCTTGCTTTTTGCTTTTTGGATTTTTTTGTCGTTATAAGTTAGAAACTTCTAAAACGTGTTTTGATGAAAGGATTGGTTTTGGGATGTTAATGCACCTGTCACCTCTTGAGGAAAAGAAAAACAATGTTAAGTTCTCACCAGTGTTTCTTTTCAGTTGTTTGGTGATTTTCTTAGTTCGGTCAGTATGTTTTGCATTGAGATGGATGTTACTGAACTGGAGAAATTTTATTGTTTTTAGTCGCCTGACCCTGCTTTGTTTGAGTTTGCTGTGTTTCTGTGACATTGAAATTGGAAGAGCAAGAACTTCCTAGCTTATTAGTGTCGAGGGAATTTTGTTTTGCATGCATTATATGCTAGCTGCCCATGGATTTTGTCTCGGGAAAGCTTGATATAAATAATGCTGGATTATTGTCTGTTGAATGTCTTTGAAGCAGATCCGAACTCCCATAGGAGGACCAGTTTGCTTATGAAGTTAATTAGACTTTTGAAGCGTTTCAGCTTTCTGATTGCTATAACGATGACATGTTTTGTACTTGTTGGCGTTTGTGAGAAGATAGAGTAATAACATGCTTGTTTGTAAGTAATGTAACCATAATTCCATTTTAAAATGCCAGCCATGGATAGTTCCTTAAACTGTTAGATTCGTGTTTTTTTAATAGTTTTCTTGAACATTAATATTGAGAAGCTATATCTAAAATTGTAAGCCTGTATGAAGCTTTATCTAGAGCACTCCTCATCCCATCACCATATTTCATCTCAAAGATTAAATTTTAAACAAGTTAGTGAGAGTTGGACAGTTATTGACTTTTAACAAGGCTATCTTCATGCTTGTGAATAACATAAAGAAATTCAACACTATTGATAAGTCTCATCTACTAATTCAAATGCACACCAGTTATTTTTACTGGGCACCTTTTTTTTTTTTCTAATTTTGACTTTATTGGATAAGTGGTCAGAGCTATGACTTGTCTATCATGCATGTTTGACTGAGTCAATATTGAAATGTATTGTATTTGATTTTTTGTAAAGCATATTAAAATGATAATCAATAATTTTGTGCAATATTTTCTTGTTAGTCATGTGGATTATGCCTTTTTGTCAGGACTTGCTTACTGGAACAATCACCATGTCTAGTTTTAGGTTTGTTGCATGCTGTAGTATTCATGGCGGCAGAGAGAGAATTTATCATCTTAGCATTAAATGGAAATTCCAAACACTTTTTGACAAATAGTTATGAGAAACTCATAGAAGATATGAGAGTTTTTATGTGAAAAATTTGGCAAGAGGGAAAATCTCGTCTCTCGAGGTTCGATTTAGTTTAAATGATTTTATTAGTGTGAGTTGTTTATTGGCAAAAGATGTCTTTCCTTGCATTTAGAGAAGACATTGATATAATATAGTGAACAATGGAAGATGCTTTCCATGGTAGAATTAGAAGCCTTGAGATGATGATCTTATCATAAAAAAAGTTAGTAGTAGTGTGGATAGTCATTCTTCTTATTAGGAATAGTGACTGATTCAATAACAGTGTTACTAATCCAATAGAAAGAAAAGAGTAGCCAATTACTAATTAAAGTAGTATAGTTGACTAATATCTTGCTTTATACATTGAATATTGCTTTCTTCTACTGCAACTAACTTTTAATATATAGTTTTATTTACTACGAAGTAACTATTTCATAATTCGAACAAAAGGCGCTAGTTTCTCTAAAAAAAGAAGCGTTTCAATGGACTTTTTAGAAAACAAATTTTAAGAAATTATATAGAAATTTGTGTTGCATTAGCACAACATAAAGAATAAATAATAACTTTGAGCGAAAAAAAAGAAGGAATTAACTTTGACCCCCGGCAGCCCCCATATTATGTTTCTTGGACAATATCATATTTCTTTTATCTAAATTTGTTTGCTTTTAGGTGATCATAAAATGTCAGATTCAGTTCTTATAGGATTATGAAGTAGCGTTACTGAGGGTGATGAAGAGGATTATGAAGTAGGAGACAATGTTGATGAAGATAATGAAGCTTTTTTAACATTTGCTGCTGATGATGATTCTCAAGAAGAGTAGATTAAATTCTTATTTGATCTTTAAAAAAAAAGATTGTAGTATTTGAATTATGAGATATTTGAATGTTACTTAGTCGAACTTATATATGTTATGGTTGTCTTTTATTATTATGATAGCTTGTCTCTCATTTTTACTTAGTCGAACATTTCATATTCATGCTTATTATTTTATAATTTTTATATAGCTTGCGCCATGTTCAAAATAGCGCGCGCCGCGCCGTGCGCTATGCGCCATGGCTCCAAATGAACCTTTGCGTCATGGTGCGCCATTCGCCGTTAACAGGTATGACTCATAGTCATTTCCACATTAGGGACTTGTCCCTCATTCCCAGGGACTTGTCTCTCCTTAAGGACTCGCCTTCGCAGATTCGTCTGACATGCCAAATCTCGAAGGCTCGCCTTAGGTGCTCGCCCATTAAAGACTCGTCCAAAGCACTTGCTTGAGAGGAGAGGGGAATGTTAAAAAAAGGGGGAGGCACATGTACATTATCTAGCTAATTCATGTGTTTGTGTTGGCCTATGTTGATTATATCCTGCACCATTTTTTGATTTATTCTAAGCATATTCTTTCCTGTAGTCCTTTTAACTTTATGAATAAGGGGTGAAAGCATATTTTAGACTTCATACTGTGCCAATTACTTACGAAGATATTAAAGTTTTCTACTTACATTCCATACTCACTAGTTTCACTCACTTAATTCTCTAGCTCTAAATAGTCAATGCGCTATTAGTAAGGTTGGATATCATTCACGTACAAATTTTGATTGAACAGTTGGACTCTTCCTTAGGATTGTAATTGAACTTCAGATCTTTCAATTGTATATTAAGATTGCAAATTTTCTTTCAATAATGATCATATGCTCTTTTGGCTCTGCATTGTCTCAAATGCGGATAAATTTGACTTAATTTGTTGGAAAATGTTTGGGTGCTTGTTTACCTCTTGATAGCTCCGTTCCTTCCTCATTTGTAACTCAGTTCATATTTCAGGGACTGGTACAATTTAGAAAAATCCAAACGTGTTAAGGCATTTCGATGTGGAGAGTTTGATGCTTGTATTGAGAGGGCTGAAGCTTCCCAGGGCACTCCTATAAAGAAAAGGGAGAAATATGCCCGTAGAGAAGATGCTATTCTTCATGCTCTGGAGCTAGAGAAGAAGCAGCTCGGGTTGCAGCAACGAAAACGGGGCATTGCTACATATGTTATGAGCAGAAAAAACAGTGGAAGTCATAGAAGTGAGTTCTCTAACCTCTGTTCTCCAGAATCCTACATGATACATGATGATCATGTTAGCGATAGGAAGTTGTCTGATAAACCACAGAACATTTTGACAGAAACAGATTTTTCTGAGGGGGAAGAGAATTTGAATGGCCCTACTTATGCAAACAATAGAAGTGTTAAGCAGTTCAGATGGGAAGATGATAATTCTGAAGTCATGCCTAGGATGAGAGGTCTTCAAGATTTTGGTCTTCGGACAGCCCAATCAAAAAAAAAGCTTTCTCAATTTGATAATTGGCGGAAATCCGGGAAACCTTTAGATAATTATGTTGAGGTGCCATCTGGTTCTGGGTGTAATCTGGAGGATGCCGTTCATGCCACTAATAGCAAAAACTGTGTATCAGTTAAAAGGAAGAGATCACAGAGCCGGTTGGTTGAAGAATCTCTCTTGAGAAAACGTGACCGTCGTCGACCACTTGTTCAAGTTTTGCAAAGCAGTGCAAAGTTAGCTTCTCATTTGTTTCAGTGCAATTACAATACTGTAGGGATTTCAATGCCCAGAGAAAAGGAGCAAGTGCAATCTATCTGTAGGGCAAAACGGAATAGATGCGCATATTTACCCCGTGATTCAGATGAGACTTTTGAGCATGCTGAGCATGATTCTGAGTCAATGCCAGAAAATCAGTTTGGGGCAAGCAAATTCCTTGATAATCCAGTTGATGTTGTTGAAGGATATATATCTTCTGGTATGATTGAAGCAAATGACTCAGATTCTTCAGAAGCTGACTATTTGGAACCTAATATGGGAGCACTGGCAAATATCTTAACAGGTATCATTTACTCTTACTTTGTTTTATATATTCTTTGTTCCTCTTGATTCACAATCTACTCTCAATTTTAAGTTTAATCATTTAGTTTGATTGAAAGATCTAAGTTTGGTTGCGCTTCTTTTTGGGAGACTGACTTTAGGTCTCTTTTACTTCAGCAAATGCCAACTTATGACTTCTAACGTAGAACGTTATAGAGTCTAGGATTTCTAAATGTGAATCTAAATCACATGCTATGATGATTTGGTGAGAGGAAGTGTTAATATGCAATTTCTGTTAGGATTTAATGAGAGAAAATGTTACACAATGATTATTAGGTACTAACCGTTAATAACAGAAAATGTATGAAGCCCAATTTTCAATGACCATTATAATCTCTTTCTAGAAATTAACAGTACAAAATAGAGAACATAAAAACATGCAATTGATGGAGATATTGTGTTCAAAGAAAGAAATTAGGAATCTGACATTTGAAAAAAGATAGCTGCACTTCCTAACCAATCATCACAAAATAAAGTAGATAGTGAAATTAAAGAAGGAAATAACATCAACATCAACATCAAGCCTTTATTTTACTACATGGGGAGATTAAAGAAGGAAGAAGAGAGGAAAAAAATAACAGGCCTAACACTTAGGGGATACCTTCTCTTCGAAGAGCTTTAGATGTCACACTTTTACCATATATATAGATTAAATCTCAAGATAATCTATCAACTATTTATTAGGGGTGTCAATTATTGACCCGACCCAAAAAATTCGGGTTAGGGTCAACCCGTTTAACAAACGAGTCGGGTTCGGGTCTCAACTTTTGACCCGTTTAAAAACGGGTCAGGTCCGGGTCAATCCGGTAACCCGAAATTGACCTGGTAACTCACTCATTTAGTCATTTTTTAAGTTTTCCCGCGTGGGGCTGGGAGGGAAAAGCCGAAAACTCCAAAAGCGAACGACAGTCACGGGTCACGACGTCACGTCGCTTGGCGAGTTGTCCGCGTCCGGCGTGCAACGTCCGCAGTCCTCACCTACTAGGCCTGTCCACATCCGGCGTGACTCACGACGCGTCGACGCCTGTCCAGTGTCATCACCGGCGCCAGACCGCCTCAGCCCTCGAGCCCCGGCTCGCGCTGCCGCTGGCATTTCCTGGCTGGCTGGCTTCGGTGACGTTCGCACCGACCGGCGATCGCGAACCTCCGTGCAGCCAGCGACTCCGGCACCGCCTCCGTCTCGCCCCATTTTTGAATCAAACGGGTCCGCGGGTCGGGTCGGGTCAACCCGGGAACCCGTGCGGGTCGGGTCCGGATTTAATTTCCTGACCCACTTAGCTAAACAGGTCGGGTTCGAGTTGACCCGTTTATACACGGGTCAAGTCGGGTTCGACCCGAACCCGACCTGTCAACCCGAATTGGCACCCCTACTATTTATATGTGGTTAATTTAATCCTGGAGCATACCGTTTCTCCAATTTAGCCAAGGTTAGCCCCTTGGCTATACGAAATTGATTCAAAATTATGCCATGTAGAAATTGTGATAAAAAATTGATCCCATTTTAGTAACTATACAATTGTTCCAAAATAGTCTCTCAAGTACTAAATTATGATCGATTTTGTACAGTCGAGGGATTAAATTGGAGAGATGTGATACTCTACGATTAAATTGGCCATTTACGAATAGCTGATGACCATTTTGGTATTTAACCCCAATAGATGTAATCTTAACATGCAATTAAAAAAAAATTATTCATACCAATGATGTCCCTTAAATGCCTGAATATTTGTATATTTAAACTTTCACGGAATAAACTCTGGATAAGGAGTACTCGATAAGCATAATAATTTGCCTTTGAGTGTACTGTATAAAGTTGCATAAGAGCTACAAATATAAATGCTTCTAAGTGAAACATTAAGTAGAAAAGCCATCATATACTAGTCCATGTTAAGTCACCCGTAGGAAGAGGAGCTGAGGAAGAATCACCTAGCAGTCATGGCATATAGCCATTGGAATAAGAACTGAAGAACCACAGGAAGGCACCATTGGCCCTTAGAAATAAGAATCAGGACCAACATAGGAATATGAATCCAACATAGAAACAGGAATCCCTTAGCTGAGCCAACATAGGAATGGTAGAAATCTCGGTAGTCCTCAACAAAACTGTGCAAATAAGAAAATAGGATCCCATGGAGGTCAAATCCAGGATCTAAATCCATCCATTCATCATATGAATGTCTTATTATTTATGGAATGTAAATACCAACTCTAATTGACTCATCTTCACTAATTATAATAAAAAAATTAAATAACACTATTTTGTTTTTTTTTGAATGAATATAGACTTCGAGCTCCACAAACTTTCCTATATTGGGAACTGAATTAATGTTTTAGTTGTTTCTTTTATTATAGTCCATTTAACTGTTGAAAGACGTGTAGAAGACTGTCTATTATTTGATGAGGCATCAATTTTTTTTTTGTATAAAATAAATTGCATTTGACTTTTAATAGGACACAATGGAGAAAAAGGATTCATGTAGCCGACCCCACGTAGTGGGATAAAGGCTTGATGTTGTTGTTGTTGTTGTATAAAATAAATTGCATACCTTACTTAGTATGGCATCTGTTATTTAATTTGGTGGGTTAAATTAATTAGGTTAAAATTTGCTTCTTTTCTAATTCTTTTCCAACCGCAAAGATTTTCTATGAGGCTATTGATAAAGAAGTAGCCATAGTTATCTTTGGTTTGTTGAAAATTGAACGTTAAGTTCATTAGGTAATGGCTATTAAAGTTGTGGTCAGTTGAAAATTTTACCCAAAATGCACTATTGTTGAAATCCTGAAATCCAGCTGTTCCCAGTACGAAGGATCCGACGGTCACAGAAATCAATCCGTGGGAAGCTCTCATGGATCACACCATAATGAAGGAACTAATTTAGGAAAGAGTATATTAGGGATTTTATGTATTAAATATGTAATTTGTTGTTTCCTTATTAAGATATATTGTAGAGATCTATAAATAGGGAAGATATTACTGAATAAAGGTAAGAATTTCCCTTAAACTTACTGTTTTAACATGGTATCAAAGCCACAAGAAAAATAGAGAGGAAGCCATCAAAATAAACCTTATCGGAGCAGATGGAGTCTAACGGAAGACAAAGACGAGGCATATCTACGGCCTATAGATGCAAGAAGGGACCGATCGACTATCGGTCGTGCTCAAGAAGCCGCTCGAGAGAAGACAACCACTGGCCGTTCAGAAGACGAAGCCGATCAGAAGCTCTGATGGTTGGACGCTCGTGACTCGAGGGAATGAAGCCACCTATCCGATCACGACCTTGGTCGCGGTCGGCACGCCTGTGTGCGACTTGGGGGGTGGAACCGCGACCTGTGCCCTAGTCCCAATCTGAGCCTTTTTCAAGGCTCGGCTGGTTTGGTTTTTTAAACCGGAAAAAAAGGAGGGGGAGAAAATCTTTATCATCGACCTTTATTGTCGACAAGGGAATTTTTTTTTCGGGAAGCCTTCATTGCTAACCAAGGTCATATAGATAGTCTTAATTACTATCATTCAACACTATAATGTCAGAAATTAATTCCTCACAGAACACTGACCACACTGAGGAGTTGATGGTGCATCAAGGATGGGGTGACCTCCAAAGCATGCAACCTTCCTATCGTCTAAATGGGAAGAACTACCTAAAGTGGTCTCAATCTGTGAAGACCTATTTAAAGGGAAAAAGGAAAAATTCACCACCTTCTTGGAGGAGGACCAAGACAAAAAGATCCTACTTTTGGGGCATGGGATGAAGCAGACTCCATGATTATGTCATGGTTGTGGAATTCCATGACTCCAGAAATTAGTGATACATTTATGTTACTTTCCACTGCAAAGGACGTATGGGATGCTGCCAGACAGACCTTCTCCAAAGCTCGTGATGCGGCTTAAATCTTTGAAATTAAAGTCAAAGTTAGAAGCACAAAGCAAGGGAGTAAGACTATGACGGAGTAGGCCACTCTTTTATAAAATCTGTGGCAGGAACTTGATCACTATAGATGCATAAAAACTAGATGTCCGGAAGATGCTGTGATCCTAAAGAACTTTCTTGAAAAAGATAGAGTTTATGATTTTTTTGGAGGACTAAATGCAGAATTTGATCAAGTTAGAGTCCAGATCCTCGGTAAAGAAGAGACATTATCACTTAACGAAATCATTTCTCTCATCCGTGCGGAAGAAAGACGATGAGGAGTGATGTTAGAACCAAAGGTCGTTGAAAGTTCAGCAATGGTGATGAACAAAGGTCATGGATGGAGAAAGGTAAAGATTCTTCAAAATTCAAAGACAATGACTCACTTTGGTGTAGTTATTGCAAAAAATCTAGACACACAAAGGAAACGTGTTGGAAAATACAAGGAACCCCCCCCCCCCAAACAAGGAGTGGAATAAAAAAGGTGAAACAATGAGTACATCGCATGCCAACAACACTATAAGCCAGCCCACCCCAGGAGTACAGTCCAACCTTGTAGAATTCATTAAAGAAGATATTAATAAATTGAAACGACTCCTTGTATCTCTTGAAAAATCAAATGCATCTTGTTCACTTGCACTCTCAGGTAAGACTCCAATTTTTATTAGTTTAAGTGCTTCTAGAAATCATTTAAAGGAATTATGGATCATTGATTTAGGAGCCACATATCACATAACCCACTCGCCTACCCTTTCATCAACTATACTACTTGCCCAAACAACAAGAAAATTATCACTGTTGATGGTTCTCTTACCACAATAGCAGGCCAAGGAGACATTAGATTATCTCCCTCACTCACCCTGAAAAATTTGTTCCACATACCACAATTATCCATAAACCTAATATTAATACAAAAACTTACCACAACAACAACATCAAGCCTTTGTCCCACTACGTGAGGTCGGGCACATGAATCCTTTTTCGTCATTGTGGCCGATTAAAAGTCAAATTATCAAATACAAAAATTTACTAATGACCATAATTGTCAAGCCTTATT